AAATATTTAGTTTTAAGAATAGTTTATTTTGAAACATACTTCTTTTTAATTAATTGCATTATTAGAATATGTTTGACACAGGAGCATAATTTATTGGTTCTTTAGTTACAACTCGTACACCATGGTATTTATGCAAGTTTTATCAGAGAAATGTTGCATCATTTTTGTTAAATGCAGACAAATGTTACATTTACAATAGAAATACACTAGGTTTTACTTCATTGTTTTCTGTTGCAAGAGATACCTAGTTTCTATCTGATGTTTGATCTGATTTTAAGAGAAAAATGCTTGTATTGAGAAATACATTTCTAAAGGCTCCAGGGTAATTTTTAATGTATTTGCTGACAAACTTGACAAAGTTCCCCCTTCTGAAACAATTTATAGTTGTTTCAAAATTTGTCTGGTGCATTAGTTTTCTTTTTTTTTTCTTTTGTGTATTGTTTTGATATAGAAGTGGTAGCTCAAGCACAGGATATAATGTTGCATTCTATTAGTAGTTGCACTTTAAAACACTGCACATAAAATGGATGTTATTTTTCATCCTTTTGTAGAATGCAAAAACAATGAGAGATTTATCACTTGCACTAATAACTCAATATTAAATTTCGTTAATAATTTAATTACTGCAGCCATTTAATAATAATTTATTAATATATTATATAAATTGCATTTAATGATAAGCACAAATACTTCATCTCCACTTAGTGTCTGGAAGCAAATTACAACTTGGCATTCTCTTTGAGATTTGCTAGGGATAATATTACTTGGAGAATTTGTATAATTCTTCTCGAAAATTTACCATTGTTTCTCCGATTTAATTCTAATAAATCTCTGTCATTTAATTTTATTATTGAGTTGTTTGTTATCCTGAGTCACGTCCATGGCAGTGTATCCAACATTTCCTATAGAATCCTCAAATTAATTGTAAATTACGCTAAAAGGAATGTACATAACAATACTGAGCATTTAATTGGTGGAAATATTTTACGTCATTACCCCCAGGATGGTACGGTCCCCACCACCGCTCAGTTTAATTGACGTGCCGCCCGTTTGAGCGCAGCACTACCTCTAGCCGCGAGAATTCACACGTAGTTTGGTAGCCGTGATTTATAACAGTGTAATTGCGCATGTGCTTTGTTCTTTGTAATAAAAATTCTCATACTTAGGAGTTTAAATTGTCGCCACTAGATTGCGCGTTAGTCAACTCCCGCGACCTTTTGAAATAGTTTTCTTAATTACCTCGGAATCCCATTTTTGATACAGCATTGTTTTCATTTTCTGTCTACAATTCTAAATTTTTCCATGCCCTCACCATTCCTCCAGCCAGTGGACTCTACTTAATGTAGTTTTGAAATCACTGCTTCCAACACCGGAGCAAAGAGTATATTACAGAGACGGCACTCAATGTTAAAAGGAAAAGCCTTATTTGCCCAACTTCCGGTGCCGCCACATTGTTCTGTATAATTTCTATTGGGTAAACGGAGACCCAATAGCGAAGAAGTAACCGGTAAATTTGAAAGAAACCAGCAACGCGGGAACTTCAAAATTTCACTCCCATACTTTCCACGCCTTAATTTTTAAAAAATTCACAATAATAATTATAAGGATTTTATGGAAGAAAAAAGTCAAATTAGGGTAATAAAATCTAGTATTTATTGAGCATATTGATATTGAACAATTTTGTAATTTCATTAGTAATAAC